TCCCTGCTGTAAATTGGTGGGTTACGGGTTTTCTTTAATATTATGGAACCACAGTCCAGGCCTTCCGCACAGCCGTTAAGAACTGGCTATCCCGTCAGGCCTGGGGATAGGATTACTCTCACCCCGCCCGAATGTTGAGTGAATGTTGTGTTTTTACGATCAATTTTCTTTTAATCACGATTTCTTTCTTTTTAAGTCTTGTCTTGCACTCCCTTCCCTTCACTGTTGTAAGCCGCCCTGAGTCCCCTCAGGGAAAAGGGCGGCATATAAATTTTCAATAAAATGAAAATGATAAAAATGATAACAGATGAAATTAGTTACTTTGTGGAATACACCTTAAACACATCTCCACTTCTGTCTCCAAGTTGATAAGACAGCAGAACAGAAGAGGGGAGAACCCTCACAGAGGACCTAAGAGGACTACCAGAGATGGAACTAAAGAATAAATTTTAATTCAAAGGGCTACACAATAAACTCCTCGTGCTGAAGTAATCACCAATCATTCTGTAATAATGAAAAAGAAACTTTAAGGAATTTCAGGAACGGTGTAAGAGCATTACTTTAAAGACAGATTTGATTAAAAAGAACTGTGAAACATATCTTTTCTCTAAATTCTCTATACTTGTCAAATCATTTAATTCAATGTGTATGATTACATTTCCTGCTTCTAAATGTTAGTGAGGTCACAAATGATTGTGTAGTAAGGATTAAAACCTGTGGATTCAATAATGTATGATTTGAAAATGTTACTATTAGCTGAGACTATCTCTTTCTGGAAGGGTATAACAATATCTAGAGGATAATTCTAAAACAAAGCCATTTAAAGGAGAGTTAGTCAATCAACGGAATTAAAGCACGGCTAGTCATGGACCAGACAGAGTAATGTCACAGGGATATTGACACAGGAATTGTTGTACATTTAAACATCTATTAGTGTGATTCATAATTACTGCCTCCACCAATGGAGAAACCAACAATTTGAAACCTACGACTGTAGGAAACAGTCATCCCTTTTTTGTCAATATTTTTAATAAGACATTCAGCATAAGGAAAAATATGGGATCGAGGATATTATTATTGCTACCTGGGAAAAATAATGGTGGAACTTGCTTCATTAAATATACTGCACACTAGTCAATTTTTTTAAGCAAGGAAGAAGGTTGGGGGGAAAAAAAGCTTATCTGTTTTGATTAACAGAAGAATCTCTTGGCACCAAAGGTGCCAAATGCCACCCACAAGATTCAGATATGTCAAACAGAATCTAGCAACAGCTTACAAACTCATGTTCTGGCACAAAGGAGAAATGCTAAGTGTCAGGGACTAGAGTTATAGATTTATACGTTGATGTAGATCAATATTTAAATCTTTCATGCCCAAACATCAGGCCAGGAAAAAAGGTCTTATAAACTGAAAAGTGCAAATTTCAACATATTCCAGGCATCAGAAAATCAATGCATTCCCAGGCCTATGTATGCATCATGAAAATGTACAAAAACACTACTGTCCAATATTAGATTTAAAGTGGCAGCAAAGAAAGTACAGCTTGTGATCAGAATTAAAGATTTCTCCAGCAGTAAAAGAAAAAAAGGGAAACATTGCTATTGATTGGAAACAGTAGTGATTTGAAAATGTAGAATCTTATGTAAAAAAAACCTGGAGTGTGTTGTGTATGTTATGTTATGGAATTAACCAAAAAGGAAGAGAAGAGGATTTTCATGCTGTTTTCCAGTCCTATGTCCAAACTAGACTTCAAAGATCCTGTTATTGAAGAATCCATAAGCATGATGAAGGCAAAAACACAAAGTGAATGAAGCTGAGTGGTTCGTTTTTTGTTTTTGTTTTGTGCAAGGAGGGGGACAGCATTTGAATGTGTTGTGTGTTTAAATTAAACTAGCCCAAGATTTGCTATTCTGCAAATTAAGAAAAATGTGAACATTACTTTCAGACACCAAATCCCATTACTGTATCAAAATATTAAGAAGTTTGAACACATTAAGAAAAAAAGATAAAAGGCAACAGTTTCCCCCAGTCGTGTCCAACTCTAGGAGGTAGTGCTCATTTCCAATTCACAGCCAAAGAGCCAGCACTGTCTGAAGACATTTTGTGATCATGTGGCCAGCATCAATGTTCCCTCTAAGCTGTGCGGCCGCGCATGTAACAAGAAAACGCCGCGCAGCAGTTTCCAACTGCCGTGCAGTGTTTTTTAATGTCTTAAAATATGACTTAAAATATTCTCCCTCCCTCCCTCCTCTCTCTGCACAGAACTCTCTCCTCCAGCGACTGAAGTCAAGGAAGACTCTGCCCAGTGACCGAGGATGCTGCAGAAGGGAGAATTCCTCTGGGGCTTCGTCAATTCCTGGGAAAACGTGATTTGCTGGTTGTAGCCTGCATTTCTCTGCACATCCCGTGTTTCTCAAGCATTGCGTCGCCTGAAGGCCTGTTCTGGGCTCAGCAGCCTTTCTGCGATCCCTTCACTTTGCGGAGAGAGGAAAGGAGCGTGGAGTTGGACTGCCTGAGCCAAAGAGGTCCACGGGATCTTGAGACTTGATTTTTCAGCAGTACCATCCATTCCACTCTTTCCTTTCCCTTTCTGTCCTTCTATCTTCCTTACCCTTTCCTTTTTTCTTTCCTTTCTCTTTTCCTTTTCTTTCCCTATTACGTTTCCCTTCTTTTTTTCTTTTCCCTTCTCTTCCCTTTCCCTCCCTTCATCATCCTTTCCTTTTCTTCTTTCCCATTTCCTTTCCTTTCCCTCCCCCTCCCTTCCTTCCTGGGGTCTGAGGGAGAGGGAAAGGACCCTTTTCCTTCTTGCCCCCCTCCCCAACATCTGCTCTGATGGCAATTATGGCTAAAAAAATTTCAGGTGCTCAGGCATGAAAATGTGCCACTCAAACACTATATTTTTCCGCACACAATGAAAAAAAATTAGAGGGAACATTGGCCAGCATTATACACCGAAGGCACAAAAAACACTGTTTCCTTTCCATCGAAATGTACCTATTTGTCTACTTGCATTTGCATGTTTCAAACTGCTCAGTGGGCAGGAGTTGGGACAATGAATGGAAGCTCACTCTGTCACGTGGTACTTAGGTCTCGAACTGCCAACCTTCTGAGATCGAAGTACAATGTGACAGAGTGAGCTTCTTAACCCGAGCCCAGCATCTTAGCTGCTTGGCTAATGCACCCATTGTGAATATATACTGAGATACAAAGATCATCAAGTTAAAGAGATCTCACATCCAACTCTAGATTTTGCACCAAGGAGTCTATCATTTGTCTGCATTACTAGTGTTCCAGAAGACATGTTGAAGATGGTTTTCTGCAGTGTCTGACTAACCAGGAATTTGCTTTAATCTTAATTGCAGGGGGCTAGAGACTCCTTACATGCATGCCAACCCTTGCCCCACAGTAGCAAGGCATTGGATATGTTGAAACAAAGGCAAGTGTATCCAGTCTAAACTGACATGGTAACATTTAACAGTGAGAGGCACTTGTGGCTCAAGTAATAAGGAACATGCCAACGACAAGAAAATACAAGAAATTAAATAGTTTTTTCAAGCTTCTATGTTTAGAAACTTACTTTGTCATAAAAAACTATAAACAGAATATTTTGTCCCTTTTGATCAAGTAAAGTGTTTCCTCTTTGTCCCAATTTCATTTCCAAAAAATATATATATATATTTCCGCAGGTGCACCCTTAGGTGAGGTCCTCTCCATGTTTCCAATACTGGCTCTCCTAGCTTCTGCTGAGGTAGGTCACATGCACCCCACCCTCCTGACACTGTAAAGGAGGGGAGGTTGGCCTGTTGCTCAGTCCCACCTCACTTTATCCCGTTTGAGTTGCCCAGGGCATTAGATATGGTAGACTTCTTGAGAGTTGCAACTGTGTACTTAATCTGAGGTAAGCTTTGAGTGCAAGAACTTGGCTCAGGGTTTCGGACTGGCTCCTCTCCATCTCGTGGGCCTTTGCTGTGGAAAAGAAAACATGCCCTGAGAAAAAACTCATTCCTCTTCAACAAAATAAACTGTGTAAATAGTTTCCAAAGCATGCTACTCTGTCAAAATGACGGACTCGCCCTCTTTCTCTTTACTTTGTGCTATCCTTGAATTTGAAGGGAATGAAGTATTTGGGATGGATTAGTTCATTACTGTGCCCCCCCTCCCCATTCCATTACTTCAAATACACTCAAGTAACAGCAACAAAAATGGAGAAAATGGCTTCATGAAAAATGAATGCTAAAATGCAATTCTACATCATCACATAAAGAATTATCCTCCCTTCCCCTCCTCCTCGGGCATCTCTCCAGAAAAAATTGGAAGCTTAACTTTATCCGTTGGTAATTATAGTTATCTTAAGTTGTCCTTTAGTAGAAACTATGTTAGCTTTAAATAGATACTTCATCTCTCTACGTTTAGCAGGCCCTGATGGGGAAGAGAGGGGAACAGTATTACAAGCCCAAGGCTAAATAATGATCGTTCATGTAGCATTAAAATCTGATTTAGCATTACACTTCATCTGGGCTAGTAAGATCTAAATGGTCAAGATGAGCATTATATTAAGTATCATTCTGCTCTTGAATATATTTTTTCAAGGGGTTTATACATAATATATTAAATAAAGTAAAATGTGTGCATGTGTGTGATCATTCTAACAGCCCCTCCACCCCCCAAATTAAAAATCAATTAAAAGAAGCAGTCCTCCCTACATCACATGCAGCTAAGCCAAATTCAAGTTTTGGTGCTCATTTCAGTCAGGTAGTCCTCAACTTACAACAGTTCATTTAATGACCATTCAAAGTTACAATGGCACTGGAAAACATTGGCCATTTTTCACCCTTATGATTGTTGCAGCATCCCCATGGTCATGTGATCAACATTTGATTGCTTGGCAACTGACTCATATTTATGATGATTGCAGTGTCCCAGGGTTATGTGATCACCTTTTATGATCTGACAAGCAAAATCAATGGGGAAGCTGGATTAACTTAACAAGAGTGTTACTACCTTAACAATTGCAGTGATTCACTTAACAACTGTGGTAAGAAAGGTTGTAAAATGGGGCAAAACTCCCTTAACAACTCCCTTGCTCAGCAGCAGGCATTTTAGGCTCTATTGTGGTTGTAAGTCAAAGAGTACCTGTAGACAAACACAGCCTAACCCACCAACACGAAATAGATTCAAAATACAGTATGTGAATATTTCACCTGTTTCTGCCTGGGTCCACTTTGCTCAAGGCATTTATAAGTTCATTCTTCAAATACAGGTGAGGTCTTGGCAGTGTCCACTGTAGTTAAGAGAAACAGCACAGGAAAGGGAATCTAGTCAGATGACAAGTCTGCTGAGATAAGGTTTTTCTTTCCCTCTCCCAGAAAGGTAAGGAACCTCCAAAAATTACTGGACCAAAGAAAATAGTTGGGGGCTAGTATTTTAATTAAGCAAAGGCATCACAAATAGATTCCGTAAGTACAAGCAAAAAAAAACAGCAGTATTTTCTCATGAAAAAGTAAAATATAGTGTACAGGGAAGGAGAGACACATTCTTACCAACACTGTAGAATCTGTTACTGTTCCATTGTGAAAACCTTTGTGACACCAATTTCTGAGCAGATCCAGTCCTGCAAAAAAGAAGAGCCAAAAAGAAATGAATGCAAGCTCCTGAGGAAGAATAAGTGCAAGCAGTTTTATTGATCACATTCTGTTCATACTGGAAAAAAAGTGTGTAGAGGTGGCAGACCTTTCTATTTAGAGCAAAAAATTAAAATTAAGCTACAAGTATATGCTTTTCCTTTGATAATGGAATTGTGCTGTACAGCACCCCAAATCGTTTTCATTTGAGATAGGCAGAAGAGAGGGGGGGGAGGGAGGGAGGGAAAGCAAGCCTTTTAGTCTGTATTGTAAACTAGCCATACCCAAGGGAAATGATTCCAAGGGAAAAAGTTTTAGAGAACAGACTTGAAGGTTGCCCATGAAAGTGGGGCAGAGACTTAAAAAAACTTGGTGATGGGGTAGACAAATCCTAGCTGAAAAGGTTTATGGCTGGCTAGATGCAAGAGGACAACATTAACACAGCCAGCAACACCTGTAACCTTTGCTGGCAGTCCATAATGGCGATAATTGCAATGGTTTCAGGAATGTCCCAAAGCTCCGGGTTATACAACTACACATCTATCCCATCTAAAGAAAGGAAGTCTGTGATGGCGAACCTATGACACACGTGCCAGAAGCCAGGTTGACTGGCACGCACGGCATCCCCTGTTCCTCTTCTGGGTTTCTGCAGTGCATGCATGCATGATGAACAGCTGACCTTCGTGCATGCAGCAGTGCTGGAAACAGGAAGAGCAGGTCTTCCATTTTCCGATGTGCGTAAGCATGCCGGCCAGCTGACTATCATGCATGTGCACCTATAATGGGAAGAATAGCTGGACGACATACATGCATGCGCCAGAAACCAGAAATTCATTTTCCAGCGCACACATGACCCTTCGGCAGCTCATCTTCCAGGTTGCATCCCAGACGAGTGTGCGCGCACATGTGTTCCCTTTTCGGCATTCGGTGCCAAAAAGATTTGCCATTAGTGGTCTATGTCACTGACTAGCAGCTCCCTGTCCTAGAAAAGAAAAGAAAACTGTGGGATTTATTTTTACCTTTGGATTTGTTCAAGAAATATTTCAGTTCCCACTGTGTAGTAAGGATGTTGTAGTATCGCGGCTGCTCAAAGAACCGTAGATAGTGCATGGAGAAGCGTGAAGGGAAGACTCGCTCAAATTGCCCACGTCGAGTGTACTCATCCTCTGTCTCTATCAGGACACGGACATCATCTGGAGTCAGGACCTCCAGGATTGTGGAGCAGAATTCCTGAGGCCAAGAATCAAAAGGCATTACATAACTTTTCTGCATTACCTATTCACTTTTGCATGCTTTTGAAATACTAGGTGGGCAGAAGTTGGAGCAAGTAACAAGAGCTCACCCGTCGCATGGCACTTGGCTCTCAAACCCTGGCTGCCAGCTCACCAGTTGACAAGCTCAGCGTCTTTAACCATTGAGCCACCCCTCCCAACATTAATATTACAGCAAACTCATGCTCCAAGAGTACATATAGCAAAGCTCAGCAAATCAGCTTAAATTCTACAGTAGATTTTTAAACAATACCTGAAGTAGATCATTATTAGGACACAAGAGTATGCAAAAGGATATGTACCAAGTATTCAAACCAAGCAAATTAACATCGTACTAGGAATCTTTGCATTTATACAATCATAACAGAATTATCCATAACATTTGTCTATGAACCATAGGAATAGTGTAAACAAGTACACTCTTGTACCTCTGCTTTCAAAATTAAGCACCACACACAACCAATCCACATAGATTCTAACTGCATCCCATTCACTCATTTGAACTTTTAACTTCCTCGTTGCTAAGCATTTTCTTTTTAAACTGAAGAAATTTGCCAGTCAGGATGGCAGACGCAAGCAGTTTTAATCTATCTTGTGTGTATCACTGACAGTTTCCTCTCAAAATCTCTCCATGCAATCTGAACTCTCACATCATTCTATGCAATCTGAACCAACAGTAGCAGGGACACGACTGATCCCTGCCTCTGTACTGATTGGACTAGAGAAAGTTTGGAAAAAAAAACAACAACCCCAAAACAGCCCATCAAACAATCCAAAGACATCGCTTGGAACAGGTAAAACGCTTGAAACAATACCATTCACACCAGTCACATTTTGATTTTACTTTATTTGTATGCCGCCCTTTTCCCTGAGGGGACTCAGGGCGGCTCACAATTCAGTACTAAGACTGAAGCAAAATTCTAGAAACATGGCTTATACTGCATTTCAAAAGCAGCCAGTTTGAGGTGGAAAAATTGCACATTTATGGTTTTCCAAGTGGAAAATGCTAGTGGCCCAAACAGCTGGTTGAATTTCAAACAATCCCCAAACCAAAGAAAAACAGTATTGCAAGCCTTCTGAAGACCTTGCCACAAAGACTGAAGTCAGGGAATACGGTGCCACCACATGCACCTACCTGCTCTGGTAGTTTCTGGGTCAGGTAATAGGCTTTTTTTGCTTTCTCAGCAGTCAGCAACTCCACAGGTGGCTTGCTTTTTTCCTTCATTACAGTGTTCAAGCTAGACAACCCAAGAGTTAAAATTATTAATCAAGAGAACTAACCAATCAGGCCAGAAATTGGTTAATACCCTTCAGTTACCTAGAGCAAAAATTGTTTATTTCAATGATAGCCCCCCCCCAAAAAAAAGCCTTACAGATAAAACATGAATGAAAATCAGGCAAAGCTTCCAAAGAATGCTTAACATTACAGTGTTGAAACAAAATGCCCCAAGTTGGGGTGGGCAAATCTTTTGGCTTAAGAGATTGAACCAGAAATATATAAATACTTCCATAATTCATAATCAATTATGGATAATACAACTTTGCTTGAAATCCAATCTGTTTTTAAAAACACTTGATCAGTCCATTCTCTGGAGAATTCAATCACTGTATTATTTTTACCCAAACACAAAATTTATTAAACTTAAAACTTTTTAATGTACCACAGGGACACACACAATTCTCCTGGTTCTTTTTATCTTTAACCTTGTAAATTATTAACTAAATTAGCTCGTAAGAGCTCCATAATAAAGATATGGTATTTCTTTTGTGCTATCACAAAATGGAATTTGAAAAATTGTTATGAGCATCACAAGTAGTGCTAGTTAAAATGGGGTGGATATTTTTTAATGAAATGTTGCATCACCCCTATTTCTGCTGTCAGTGAATAACACATAGGTTTAGAGGATTCATCCAGGAAAAACTGTTTACTTTTTATCAGTTATAAAATTGGTATTTGGTTAATAATTCTTTTGCTAAAATTAGGTCTATAGACAACCACACTGAAGGCTCACCATCCTAGGAATTTGGTAAAAGTGATCATTCTTACCCAGCATCCAACTCATACACTGTCTTAAAGAGTGGCAAACCTATTATTGCTTAAATGTTTACAGATCACAGGCCATTTAATCAGATACATGAAATATTGTCTTTAAAAAAGCTATTTTACATATATTTATTATTGGTTGGATTTATATCCTTCCTTTCCTTCAGAAGCAAAATACAGCATACTCAATGGTTCCTCCTTCAATTTTTCCCTATAACAACTATTACGTGGGGTTAAATTTTCTCCTTAACTGCAATTTCAGAAAGATAACTGTAAGAAAAACCAATTGGTCCCAAATCAACAATTAAGCTTCCATGGGTAAAAACAGACTTCATCCAGGGTCTCTTCTTCCTACTTCAGTACTTGAGCCTTAAAGGTAAGAAGGAGTAAAGGCAAAAGAAGCCTAAAACAACAATGATTGCCTACAGATAGTACCCCTTACTTATAGCTTTCAGAAGACTTCAGAAATGTCTGATGTTTTCAAATCCTTCCTAGAAATGTTTTTCTAAGGCTCTAAGTATATTGAAGTAGACATGACTAATATGACAGCAAAATATACATAGCTAGATTAGCAGTGCCGGGCTGAATCAAACATCCCACTCTGAAAGAAGTGCTTTATTTCCATCTCTGCTTTTTCTTTCTGAACTTTCAATCTGACCTGGTTGTGGAGCTGCTGGCACTTCCGGTAGGTGAAGCCACATCTTCTGCATTAGGCAACTGAAAGCCAGCCAAGTTAAGGGCATCCCGGACCATTTGACCTTTGATGCTCACATCAAGAGGAGAATTTGAATGAAGGCTGCCAGAAAAATATAGGTATGTTTTTGGAAATTTGTTTAATAGGCTCATCTTCTTTCTTTTGACTTTCACATTCAGGATAGCTGTCCATGCAAATTACAAGCTCAAATCAAAGTGAGGGAAAAATGGCAAAGGGATAATCAATTCAAAATTGCACAGTAATATTGTTTCAGAAAAGTTACACCATAACCAGTCACTATCTTACTCTCCCCTACAGTGCTCCTTAATCTCTCCTTTCACTTAATTCCCTCTCATTAAAAAGTTGGAGCAATAAACAATCTCTTAACACTACAAAGACTTCACAATGAAAATAAATCAGCAAACATTTAGGGAACAGACTGGAGACTATGGATAGAATCCATATTGCAATTGAAATTGAATTTAAATACGTCCCAAAATAACCTGTACTGAATGGTGCATGAAGCACAGTTTACCTAGGGGAAATGTTGACTTCCAGGATCCATGGCTTAAGGTTCTCATCCAGCATAACATCAAACCCAAACAGCTCATGGCAGCAATAAGGACGCCGCACATACATCTTCACAAGGTTGATTATGTAGGGCTCTGACCTGAAATGTAAAAAAAATGTTAATCAAGGAAGAAAAATCAGCCTGCAGGGAGGCCATTTTTCAAAACTTGTTATATTATGAATCACTTATCCATGTATATTGAACAAGTGACTCCTAAAACCAAAGTGTCTTTTTCTTATGGGTAACATGATGATCTCATTGAAGGGATTTTCATGGATCTCCTCTTAATTCGCACTACTAAGATTCTGATGAGATAATATCAGTTAACTTCAATAAAGTAAAAGTACAGTCTGATCGTTTGAGTCCTGAAGATAAGATGAATTATGTCAACAGATTCATGGGCTCATAAGCAAGCCTCAACAGACAACTATTTAACTAAAAGGCTGGGAGGCGGGGGGGGGGGAGAGACACAAAGGAGGGAGAAGAACATCTCATGACTTACGCGATGATGGTTTTGACAACAATATCTTTTATCTTCTCCCAAATAGCTTCACTATCAACTCCTTTCTGGGTCAAATAGTTCCAAAGTGCCTTCAGTGCCCTGTATAGATAGAGCACAGCATGTAAACAAATAAACATTACACCCAATGAAATCATTACCTTAGATTTCCCTTGTTAATGGGGGGAAAAGGCAATATAGCCCACACTCTACTGAAATGAAAGAGTTCACCTCTTGCCTATCAACAAAAAGATCACTCAATATTATTGAGATGAAGCAGCAGCTGGTGCTCAGAGGCCTCAAACAACAGAATGCCCCGTACCATACTTCTCCTTCGTGTCTCCTGACACTCACCACTTATGGCCCTGGCATGCAGTTTCATCTGCATTAGACTTGTATTCTATGTTTTTCTTGTTGATGCTATAATTCGTTAAGTGCATGTACTTGTTGTTGAGACTTTTCATGGAAGAAGAGTACCTGCAGTGAGCAAAATAAAAGGTAATGGAACTGGTTTAAAATACTGATTTAGTGTCAGGACTGACTACTGAGAAAAAGATTGCCTACAGCCATAGCGATACAGTAGAACAAGTTACATGGAGACTTCAACTTACAAGCAATGACTTAGCAACCCACTTTACAATGAACCTCCCGAAATCTTCACATGACTCAGTTTTGAAGTTACAACTGCTGCAACGCCCCTAGGGTCATGTAAACAAAACTGGGTGTTTTGGCAAGCCACCCTTTCATACAACCGACCACAGCGATACTGCAGGACTCCCCCACCTTTCTCTCCCCCCAGGCCTGCTTCCCACCCCACTGGATCACACTTCCATCATGCCACCAACCCTTGTCACTGATCATTCATTTACTGTTTATTGTTGATTTCCTTCTGGAAGCAGCTGCTGGATTGTGCAGCTTTCCTACACAGTGGAGGCTGAGTGGCTTTCCCCCTGAAATTGACTGCAGTTGCTCTGAAATGGCACCTGCTTCTAGAATTGAGCCATAAAGCCTGCAGGGCTGCCCAGAGGCAGGAGGCCTGCTTTCCTTCCTACCATGATCTCATTGCAGCTACTTCCTTGCTGTGGGATATTGGGGGGCGGGGGGTTGAGAAGTAGGCCTAAGGCCTTAGGGATGCCTGAGGGACAGGTAGAGGAGCACAGTGTGCCTCAGGGAGTGGGGAAGACAATGGAAAATACAAGGAAGGCATGAGCCTGAACTAGGCCTCCTAGGGCCTCTGCCACCTCTGAGGGACCCCATGCTCCATTTAACCACATCAAGAAGAGCAGGGATGGGGGAGGAGGATCCAAAGTCACGACGATACGGACATGCGGTCTCGATGCTCCGAGACTGCAGCCGATACTTTTGCTGCTGGGTGGTCCTATAGGACCTAAACCATCCCGCAGAGAAGGTGAACAGGAAGAATATGTCTTGCTGATCTCAGGGACATCGCAAAGTCCCTGATCTATGCAAGAGAAGTTCTTCAAGCCGACGACAAAAAATCCAGCCAAGGCTGATTAAGTCGGGGCGGATTCAAAACGGAAGGATACGGAAAGAGAAAGTGTTTCCAGCTGGTGAGGAATTTTTACCGTTTTAAGTTTAAAAAACTTAAAATTAATTTAAATTGGGGAACAGAAGAAATAAGCGGCGGAATTAAATTTGGAATGGTTTTGGACAGTGGGTTATCTTATTTTTTAAATGCTATCTTCATGGATGGAATTTATGCAAGCCTTTTTAAACGAATGGATTAAGTTTTCTTCTTTTATTTTTTTTTCTTTTATTATTCTTTGTAACCTATAGACTAAAATTCTCCTTTTTCATTACTGTGGGTGTTCTTCTAACTCATTCAAGAATCGGACCTTTTTTTTAACTTGAAATAAAAAAAGATACAAAAAGAAATAAAGAACATTGCAACAATAACACTGCTACTCGGAGGCTGGAAGGTTTGTGTATTGGAAATGAAACACTCTTGTTTGTCTCACTGATTATCCTGGCTTGGCACTCCAAGTTCTTGCTGCTTGTTTATAGAGAGTAATAAGAAAAAAAGCATACAGATGTCCCTTTGAAATATATCTTTAACCAGAGAAAAGTGAAAATAAAATGTTATTGTGAATCTATGCTTAATCTTATTAACCTTCCAAGCTAGAACATCAGTGTTTGTTACCTGGAGATAATGGCACAATTTCAATAGCAGATAGAAACTTTAAGTCTGCAAAAGATATTCTCAGAAATACAGAAATTATCAAATACATATGAGAGGAAA